GCTAAAATGATTTGATGTATGCCGATATGCGCACACGTGTGTGTCGTGTGTGATCAGATAATTTAAAGAAAACAAGCAATAAAATACACATTTTACGTAGTTTCTTCTTGGTTTTAAATATTATTTTACATCAACGAAAAAAAAAAATCATAGAAATATATTCCTTTTTTTTTATTCATGGATCGATTTTCGGAGCATAAACATCGGTTTTATTCCAGATTCATTGGGTGCGCAAAATATTTGAGTAGAAGCTTTTTTCACGATTTTCAGCCTCAAAAAGTACCTGCGTAAATTACACAGGTGCGCAAATTACATGGGTTTTTACGGTAAGAGAAATTGACTGTAGTACCTCTGAGTCTGGAGAAGAAGATTTTTGAAATATTGGTTAACTTTCCCTTTGGGGCCCCGCCCTGGCCCCTGGGGTTGGAGAAGGAATCCCAATTTTACAATTTGATACCATCTCACCAAGTCAGAATAATTCTTACTTAAAATGAACAAAATGTACGCAATAGTGTTATTACCTTATATATACTATGTATCGCTCACCTGGATACCTAAGCAATCATGACCCCAAGTCCAATCTTTGAGAGCATATCAGTGTATTAGATTTTTCATGCCCAGCAATTTTATGTATGGTTATGGGGTGGGGATCTCAACTGTTTCCAAGCTTTGACTCAGAAACTAGGTCCCTAGGGTTGTGGTCAGACCCAAGGATCAATTCTAATATCCTGACTGCATTTGTCTCTTTTTGCCCAGCATTTGTATATATAGTTTTGGGGTGGGGATCTCAACCGTTTCAAAGTTATGACCCAGGGGTTAGGTCTGCAAGGGTGGGGCAGGGTTGGAGCAGACCCTGGGGTCAATTCTAATATCATGACTGCATTCGTCTCTTTATGTCCAACAATTGTATATATAGTTTTGGGGTGGGGATCTTAACCATTTCGAAGTTATGACACAGGGGTTAAGTCTCCAAGGGTGGGGCAGTCCCCAAGGCCATCCTGGAAGCATATGTGCAATCATCTTTATATACTCAGCAATTATATATATACGGTTATAGGGTGGGGTGGGGCTCTCAACTGTTTCCAAGCTGGGACTAAGAAACTAGGTCCCTAGGGGTTCGGTCAGACCCCAGGGTATATTCTGATATAATGACTGCATTCGTCTCTTTATGCCTAGCATTTGTATATATAGTTTTGGGGTGGGTATCTCAACCATTTCCAAGTAATTAACTTAGTCGGGGGGTTAGCCCCACCATTTATACAATTTTGAATCACCACCACCTAGGGATGCTTTGAGTCAAATATGGTTGATATCCATCCTTTAGTTCCAGAGAAGAAGTCACTTAAAGCAATATAGCCAAATACCCTTTTTGGCCCTGCCCCTCAGCCTCCTGGGGGGTCAGCCACACCATTTGTACAATTTTGGATCCCTGCCTCCCAAGAATGCTTTTGATCAAATATGATTGATATCCAGTGCATAGTTCTACACCAGAAGTCGTTTGTAGCAATATAGCCAAATTGCCCCCTTCTGGCCCCACCCCTCAGCCCCCTGGGGGGTCAACCCCACCATTTGTACAATTTTGAATCTCCACCACTTAGGGATGCTTCCAGTCAAATATGGTTAATATCCATCTCTTAGTTCCAGAGAAGTCACTTAAAGCAATATAGCCAAATTGACCCCTTTTAGCCCCACCCCTCAGCCCCACCATTTGTACAATTTTGAATCCCTACCACCTAGGGATGCTTCCAGTCAAATTTAGTTGAATTCCAATCAGTGGTTAAGAAGAAGAAGTTGTTTGAAGAAATTGTTGACGGACGGACAACGGACGGACGCCACGGTATGGCATAAGCTAATTATAAATTAAGCCACTGATGATCTACCCAAAAGTGTTGTTTCCCAATATAAACTATAGTAAAATTTACCCCCTCCCCAAGGGAGAACGGATAGCTCGGGGGTCCTGAAATTTACAATTTAAATAAAGCCCCTGATGATCTTTCCATCCATGCAGAGAAAATGACTGTAGTACCTCTGAGTCTGGAGAAGAAAATTTTTGAAATATTGGTAAATTTTCCCTTTGGGGCCCCACCCTGGCCCCAGGGGTTTTGGTAGGAATCCCAATTTTACAATTGTGTAGCCTCATCTACCAAGGATGATTCTGACCAAGTTTGAAAAACTTCCATGCACTGGTTCTTGAGAAGAAGTTGAAAATGTAAACAGTTTACACACGACGCACGACGACGGACGGAAAGTGATCGGAATAGGTCACTTGAGCAAAGCTCAGGTGACCTAAAAAGGAAATGGTTGGAATTGATGGACCACAGGATAATGCATGCACTCATACCTATACTTGTGTCTCCAAAATATCCAGATAGCCGACACCTTTCACCTTTGCATGGGCATGGAGCGTTTTCGCTGAATTTCCTACAATTTTCTTTTCCTTTGCTTTGTTTGTCAATTACAAAGGAGGAGGATGTTGACAACTTCCCAAGAAGATGATTTGCTATGACAGTTGTCAATTCTGTCTCTGTTAAAGATGTCAGGCTTTCAAGTTCCAGTGACTCCAAGTCTAAAATGTAAATGACCAGAGAGTGTAATTAGATGCTGGCGTGAATCATGTAATTTAAATCTAAAATTTAAAGTACAGAGAAAATCGACACTACATTTATATGACAATCCTGTGCATATGGTTACATATCTTCCTAAATGTCAAGTCCAAACAAGATCCCAGAGGCAGAGGGATCTTGGCGCCTACCATTGAATATCTATTGGTACCTGTACTGTATGTACAGTCAAACACGTCTCGACGACCACCTGTATTCAGCGACTACCTGTCTTACACGACCTAAATTATACCCCCAATGAAATTTTCTATATAACTGACCTGTATTCAACGACTCCCTGCCTAACGCGACTAACGACCATAACATTTCACACCATAAGTGTGTCTCATGCGACTATTGAAAACGAAACTGGAGGTTGTAAAATAAAATTGTAGCGTGTTAACATACATTTAAATGTTCAACAGGGTCCAATAAATATAATTCCTTTCCATAAATCCATGATTAAATGATTAGCTTTTCCGTGATTTCCCGGTTAATACAACAAGAGACCCAAGAGGGCCTGTATCGCTCACCTGAATATTTAAGCAGCCAGAGCAAATATTCTCATTAAATATTATATTGTACTACAAATTTGTCACTCGCAAACTTTGTCGGCTCCAACTGTTGAAACTACCAGTCAAATATTATTATAAGATTTTATGCTTTTTGGCCATCGTTCTTCTTCAAAAGTTGTTCGACATATTTTTCCCTGTGCCCTTGTAAGTATGTCAATTCATTTTCCTTCTCAAACTTTCATAGCTCTATCCCAAGAAGCTACCAGCCAAATCTTATGAATCCATTCCTTTTGGTTCTTCAGAACAAATTCTTTGAAATGTTGTTGACCTCTGTGACATTTAAAGTAGGTCGAGGTCATTTTAATTTGCAAACTTGGGTGAGCTCTAACCGAAGAAGCCGCTAGCCAAATATTATAATTTTATGCCTTTCGATTTTTCAGAAGTCGCTTGATGTTTTTGACATATTTGACACCTGTGACCTTGAAGAAGGTCAAAGTCATTTTCATTCTCAAACTTTGTCGGGCTCTCTCTCAGGAAGCCACTAGGCAAATATGAAGGTTCTACACCTTTTAGTTCTTAGAAGAAGCTGTTTAAAGAGTTTTACATACTTGACCACTGTGACCTTGAAAGCAGGTGAGCTAAAAATGGATTACATTAAATGTTCTACAAACTGAATACAAGCAAACTCCATATCATTTCGTTCCATTTGAAACCTCCTCTGATATTTTGTATCAACCCAAGAAGCCATGTTGTAAAAGTAGGTCAGAGAAGTGATACAACGACATGGACATGCATTTTGAAGGTTCTATTCCGTAATATACTATACATTTGTGTCTGTGGCATACATATGGGATAAATATTATATGAACTATGAGTAGACATCGTTGTCATGAACTGTGAAAAACTAAAGTGAGTTTTTCAAGGCGATTTTGTTTCGCCCGGATATCGGGCGGAATCTGCATCAAAGAATTACTGCTTTGGAAACAAGAGGCCCATAGGGCCTGTATCGCTCACCTGGATATCTAAGCAATCATGGCAGAATAATCTTCAAATGAGATCCATGGGAATATGCCAGAACCCATGGCCAATCCTTGTAGCATATATATCTGTATTTGATTTTTCATGCCCAGCAATTTTATGTATGGTTATGGGGTGGGGATCTCAACTGTTTCCAATCTGTGACTCAGAAACTAGGTCCCTATGGTTGTGGCCAGACCCCAGGATCAATTCTAATATCATGACTGCATTTGTCTCTTTATGCCCAACAATTGTATATATAGTTTTGGGGTGGGGATCTTAACCATTTCGAAGTTATGACCCAGGGGTTAAGTCTCCAAGGGTGGGGCAGTCCCCAAGGCCATCCTGGAAGCATATGTGCATTCATCTCTTTATACTCAGCAATTGTCTATATGGTTATAGGTCGGGGATCTCAACTGTTTCCAAGCTGTGACTAAGAAACTAGGTCCCTAGGGGTTCGGTCAGACCCCAGGGTCTATTCTAATATCATGACTGCATTCGTCTCTTTATGCCCAGCATTTGTATATATAGTTTTGGGGTGGGGATCTCAACC